TTTTTTTTTTTTCAGAGAGAACTGGTTGTTTGCTCCCATGGGATACTTGCTTCGAGGAGGGATTGTGTTGCTTTCTCAGCTATGGTTCGTAGCTCATACGCTTCTGGCATCAGCTCCGAATCTGCCACCACTTCCATAGACAATCCATCGTACAGCGGAACATTTCAAAGGCGTGATGATACGGCTGTCGATAGTTGTTCCATCCAAGGAAGCCACTCTGGCAGGCTTCTAATGGATGTTGATAGGACAGATGATAGTTCCATGTCTCATGCTTCTAATAGAAAGAAAATAGCTAATAGGAGTGTGTTCTCTGGCAAACAACTTCCTCAAAAACCAACTGCTCGCAATTCAAATGCAGTAGATGGTGGGGAAACAAAATCTAAAGATTGAGAGGTAATTGGATGCTTTCAAACCCAAACCTTCTGTGTATGACACTGATTTTTGCACTTTTAGTTCTGTAGGGCGTAACAAGTTTTCAAAAGGAAAAGGTTTTGACATCCTATCAAGCGCCATTGCCGAACCTGAGGCTTCCTAAAGATTGTGTGTTTAAAGATGGCTCAGCAGCTCATGATTCCGAGCCTTGTGCACCGCAAGAACCTGGTGGATAACCTCTGCAAGAAGCACTGTTGATTATTGAGCAGTTCTAGACAATGAGACTTCTGTGAGGGCCCCCGATGTCTTCGTCTAACGATTTGGAAGATTGCTTCAGCATATCCTGTCGAACAAAACACGCAGTGTCGGGGTAATGGCTTTCCAATGTATTATTTATAAATTAGATGATTCGCCATTGTTCAGAAAGTTTTGTGCAAGCTTTGTATATCTGAGAGTATTGTACAGAGTGAGTAGATTTCATTAGTCCATGGCGCAGGGTTTGCTTGGTTGATTCCCTGCCCTGCTTTTCATCTGGTTCAAGGGCGCGCGAGGGAACTCATCTGCCATAGTGATATACGGAATATAGGTGTTCTCATTTTTTTCTTTTCTGTGCATTTTTGTAGGTATCTATGCTAGTTTAAACCATTGAACCAATAGGGCATGGTTCAGTAGCAGTAGCCAGTAGCCAGTAAAGCTTAATGTATTGTTCCATAGCATCATCATAATGTAAATATTAGTGGAATTTGGCTCTCGGTTATGCACGGGTTGAGACATACCAGCAAGTTCTTCATTTGACGTTAATTGGCAATTTGAATGAGCATTTCTACAATTTTGTAGATTACTAATTTCAGAATCTAGCTTATATATAATTTAGTGGTAGTGAGTAAGACGTGCGTGATAAAAAGTGAACACTGATATTGAATGAGGTTTTAATTAGAACTATTAGACATGTATTGGCTATAATTAATAAGGCAATACTGATAAACTGGAGTTCATTTTGAGATGAGCTCCCTATAAAACTAATTATTTTTTTGATTCATTGTGAAAGATGGGGGTATTTATATACATCCGCACAGTTTTTTGGCATCTGCATAGCTAACTAAAATTTGTATATTTACATGCATGAT